CTATTATGAGTCAAATACATTGATTATGTGTAGATTTTAACATGGAAATTAGTAGAAAACTTGGGGTTGAGGGAAAAACCTAGAAAATTGGTATTTTTGGATTTTGACCACGATTTTGGACATGAAATTAAGAGTAAATTATATATTTGAGTTCGTGAGGTTACGGGTTATCTTCGAAAAATTTTGAAATCCGGGCACGTGGGCCCGAGGCCGATTTTGTCAACTTTTCGAGCGAAGTTGGGAATTTATATAAATTGAATTGTTATAAGTATTACGGTATGTTTCATTGGTTTGCCCAGTATTTGGCTAGTTTCGGGAGTGTTGGCATCAGTTTGAGTCGTCGGAAGGACTTAGAAGTCGGATATGGAACTTCGCAGTGAGGTGAGTCTCCTTTCTAACCTTGTAAGAGGGAATTGTCCCCATAGGTGAATTAATTGGATATGTGCTCCTATTTGTGGGGGCTACGTACGCACGAGGTGACGGAAATCCGTGCGTAGCTACCATTATTCTTAAGTCCGAGTAGTCTAGGACCCTAAAGCATGCTTTACTTGTAATATTTGAAATCTTGTTGTCAATTTAAAAATGCTTAAAACATATCGTACGTGTGAATGAATTTCTAAAAGACTAGTCATCGTTTCTTGATTTTAAAAGAGAAATTGCCTTTTTCTTGGATAATTGCTCCCTGATGGGTTCTTGATTGACTGTTTGAATGTGTTTATATATTGTGGAACGGGTCGAACGCCTCGGTAGATTAAATAGATGCATCTATGGTTCGTGCCATTCGACCTTCTGGCAGTGCACAGTTTAATATTGTTGGATCGGGCCGTACGACCTCGGCATGATTTGCGCATGTTTGTATTGCTTGCCTTATAATTCATTGATGTTGATATTTATTCTCCCTGGCCTGAGATAAATGTATAAAAATGATGAAAATGAATTTGAGAATTTCCTATAGACGAAAGAAATTGTTTGCTTGCCTCATGCTATTGAGTTACAACCATTTTTATGAAAAATCCTCGTCTTACTATATTATTGATATATTATTATTGGACCACTAGTAAGTGTCGAAGTCTACCTCTCGTCTCTACTTCTTCGAGATTAGACGGGATATTTACTGAGTACACGTTGTTTTGTGTACTCATGCTACACTTGCTGTGCATTTTTGTTGCACAGGCACATGTACCTCTAGCGGCCTAATGGGCGTAGCAGCATGAATGATACGGAAACTTAGGTGAGCTGTATCTCTCGAGGTGACCCGCAGCCCGCATAGAGCTCTTTCAGTGTATAGTATTTACCTTATGTCCAATTTGTATCCCGGACAATCATTGTACTTCATTTGATTTTCCTAAAAATAGCTCATGCACTTGTGACACCGGGTTCTGGGATGATTATGAGATTATTCAATATTTAGTTTGTTAAAGACATCATATTATTTCAGTGAAATTCATTATTTATTGTTTAATGTATAAGAGAAATGATTTCAATAAATACTAAAATAGGAATTTAATTAACTTCTTGGTGTTGGCTTGCCTGACAGTGGTGTCCGGCGCCATCACGACCCTTAGTGGAATTTGGGTCGTGACACTTCGGGAGATCTCCCTGCACATTTAATTTTGAGACTACGAGATGGTAACTCGGGAGATCTCCTAGCATATTTACTTTTGGGACTACCAGACGGTATCTCGAGAGATCCCCTGCTGTTTATCCATGTGTGTTGTGCTGCTATTTTTATGTGGTTTTCTCGTTGTTAAATTGCCAGTCTCTTATTACACTGGTATATTCTTTTGCCTTATTTATTATATACCAATGGGGCCCTGATGTGACCTCGTCACTACTCGACTGAGGTTAGGCTTGGCACTTCGTGTGTACCATTGTGGTGTACTCATGCTACTCTTCTGCACATATTTTGTGTGCAGATCCAGGTACTTCTTATCAGCCTCGTTATTAGTGAGCAGCGAGACTTTGGGGACTTCAAGGTATATCTGCCCGCGTCCACAGACCTCGAAGTCCCCCTCTATTCCCTCCTATGTCATTTACCTTTCCGTACTTTCTTAGACTTTGGTGTATAGAGAATACTGGTTTTCTTCTTTAGCTTGTGACTTATGATTTTTCGCGGGTTTTAGGAGTATTGTGTATACTAGAGTGTTGGTTATCGTACATGCCGAGCAGCATTTTTATCAGTTATTTAATTATCTATTGTAGTTAGTTATTATTTTTACCTCCATTTTCGTTATTTCCGCAATTTGTCAGGCTTGCCTAGTTGTAGAGACTTGGTGCCGTCACCGCGTCTTATGGAGGGAGATTTGGTTCGTGTTAATGTTAATTATCAATCACTATATCACGAAACACTATAAGCACAGTATGATAAATTTGATATTTTTAGTGAGGAAGAAGAGAACTTAGATAAAACACCTACTAGTCCTGCTCCTGAAGCTCCAACTTAGAGTCAATCTCAGTTTGGAGATGATGTTCCATTGCCTTCCATTAGAGAAGCGATTGAACATAAAAAAAGGATAAATTTATTGGCAATGATTTACGCATGATAAGGCTTATTTAAAGGCTATGTGTAAACTTTATAAATAACGATTATCTTTTAAAAGTAAATCCGGTCATGGCAGAACGGGTGGTTTTATGAAGCATATGCAACTTCATCACAAAGATGTTGGCTTGCTAGGGAGGGGCTCCCCGTTCTGAAATAAATACTACTCAGCCCAAGCACGATTCTCGTACTATACAATCACAAATTAACCATGTGACGGGAGGTCTTCTCCATTATGACCAAAAAAAGAATAGGGAAAATATGGCAAAAACGGTTGCTGCAGAGGGTTTGCCTTTTGGTTTTTCGTTATCTTACGGGTTTGTTCATTACAAACAAGAAATGTATAATCCTGATTTTCAAGGTTTTCCTAGAACAACTATTAGAAATTACGTTTTTAAATTTCAATGTGAACATCACCAATGCTTACGGTATTTATTTCCCACTTAGATTGTAGAGTTTCTATCACTTCTAACATTGGTCGTAGTATAAATAGTTATCATTACTTAACAGTTAAATGTCATTGGATAGATAACAACTGGATTATGCAAAAATGCATTATTGATTATAAATTTGTTGATGACTGACGCACTTGTATTTTTATTTCTAAACAAACTAAAGAATTTTGCGTCTTTTATGGATTTTCTAACAAAATTATTACTATTATTTTAGATAATGCTTCTAGTCACACTTCTGCTATTGAATTTTTAAAAACTATTAATTCCATTTTTTGCGTATTTATTTCATATTAGATGTGCATATCATATTTATATCTTAGTTGTACAAGATGGACTTACTTTATTTGGCACTACTCTTGAGAAAATTAGATTTACAGTTGGTTATATTTTTCGCTCTCAAATACCTGCTAAAATTTAAGATGCGTTGTGAATCTTGTAAATTACCCTTTAGAAAAATTTCTAAAGAAGTTGCAACTAGATGAAATTCAATATATGCTATGTTGTCTGTTTCTTATGAATATCGATTGCCAATTTATTTAATGCTCATGTTCAATCTGTTCACAATATATAATAGATGATGATTGGGATACAATTTTTCATCTTATTCATTTTTTATAAAGAAATTTCTATGCTACTAAAGAATTTTTTGGGGTATATTATCCAACTATTTCTAGCATGTTAATTTATATAGCTGGAATTTCGATGTTATTTTTTAGTAGAAATAAAAAGAAGATTATAAATATTCTATTAAAATAATGGTTTAAAAAATTTAAAAATATTTTTTTCCTATTCCTGTTTTTTACATTACTGCTGCTGTTTCACATCCTCAAAATCAAAGTTATTGGTGCAAAAACGCTTATTCCTAAAATTTAATTTAATTTAGAAATAGAACCAACTCAAAGACCATCTCTTTCTATTTGTTTGTGTAGTATTCAACAAAATGCTAAAGTTATGTATGACTATTACCAAAGACAAATGAACTCTGTCGCACTAACTAATGGTGCCTCTTCTTCATCATCATCTCAGCCTCATAAAAAGACTGTTGCAAGTAGACCTCTTGGTGCTATTCGGCAAATGATTAGTTAATCACAATCTTCACAAATTAACGAGCTTGATGTGTATTTACTTGCAAGAATTATTGATATTTGCAATGATGAAGCGAATGAAGACTTGCTAAAATATTGGAGAATGAACGAACAAACATTTTCGATCCTTTCAAGAATGGTCCAAGAAGTGCTAACTATTCGAGCTTCATCAGTAGCTTTCGAAAGAACTTTCAGTGCAACACGATTTCAACGTGGAGACAACGGACACTCATTGGCAGAAGACACCTTGGAGATTACTATTTTATTCAGAGATTGGATAAAAACGGAGAGAAAAAACTTTGGCCTTCCAGAAATAATTCAAGAAGACGACGATGAATATAATAAATTACTATCTACCGGAGATGGCGGGAATGCAGACAAACAAGTGCTACCAATTCCAACCGAAGAATCACAAAAAATTATTGAACAATTACGTAAATCGTTCAAAAGAAATATGTAATTTTATTTACAAATGTTGAAATACAAATACATACTTATAACTTGTATTAAAAATTTAATGTTTACATAAAATAAAATAAAATAAACGCACTTTATGGATTTTATTATCCATTAAAGTTTGTTTGTATTTAAATATAACTTTTTAAAATTTTAATTTAAAATTATCCTTAAGTATCGATGCCCTACCCTTAGGACCGATAGCAATACTGGCAGAGTACCAGTAAAAGTATCCTTACCCCTCCCCTTAACCATGCCCTAGTAGGCATATATAAAAATGCCCTGGACAAAGTCACAAATCCAACTACAACGTGGGTGAAATAATGAAACTCCCCCCCCCTCCCCAACCCCCACCCCACCCCTCCGACCCAACCCAATCCAACCCAAACAAACCCCCATTCTGCAAATGCAATGACAAAACTACCCTTAGTGGATTTCTGGCAACAGCAAAACAAAGTCCTTTTGTTTTCCTCCCGACGCGTCAGTGAAGATTCTTGGATAATAAATCCTTTTCTTTTCTTCATCCCAATTTCCAAAACAACAGTCGTCCTACAGTCACCTCTTTTCTTTCACCCACCTGAAAATCCACACAACCCACCTTTTTAAACACCCAAAAACTCCCTTATTAGTTAGAAATAAGAATTAACAGTATGTATGAATTTGGGGAAGAGCTAATAATTGAGAACTACAAAGTGCCATGGTTAATTTGGATTCAGTTAGTGGTGATGATTCTTCTTGTTTTGCTTCTATTCTTTGGGTTCAGTATTTTAGATCTTCCTAACAACTCAAATTCTAGTGCTTCTTCTTCTTCTTCTACATCTCAAGGTCCTACTGGTTCTTCCCCAAATTGCAACTCAACTGCCACCCTTCAGGTTTGAATAATAAATCACTTCTTTCTCAATTGTCAATTTGTGTATTTATGTGAAAATTGGAAAATGACAACTTTTTTCTTGAGTTTTCGTTTTGTTTTCTGATTTGGAAAATTTAGCTTTCCAATTGAGTCGATAATTTCTTTGATTCTTTGACTTTCTTTTTTCGGGGGTTAAAATGGGTTTTTTTTTCTTTCTGAAGTTGGTTTTGATCGATTTGTTTCTGGGCCTGAAAAATTCACTTTTAACTGGGTTCGAGTTAACTTGTTTATTTCTCCCATTATGGGTATCTGGTTTGTTGTGTTTTTTTGGGATATGGCGAGAAAATGAAATGGAATTGTGTTTGATAGTAACCAAATTAAAAAGTACTTTTCTGTTATGTAAAACTCTAGAGTTGGAGTTAGAAATATAAATTGGAGATGAAAAAGGAAACTATTTTCTGGAATAGTTCATCTTTGAATATTACTGTTGTTAATTTTACCTTTAACTGTTTTGATGACCAAATTAATTGAAACATTTAGAATATTAATTTACCTTTGCTTTGGAAAATGACTGCATCTGAACATTTAATGTGGGCTAATAAGTGGACAATAATGTTCTAGGGTAAGGTCAAGTGATAGATAGGGAATAATATACTACTTAACATATTCTGATGGAGTAATAGTTTTATGTATTTTAAATAACTGTGTTTGGAACCTATTTCCTTAGTATTAGAAAATGAAAAAAAAAAATACCTGGTTTATTAATCTCTTTCAGATTTTTTTNNGGGGGGGTGGGTGGTGGGGTTGGGGTGTTGTCAAAGAAATGAACTATCCTTGGCTAAGTTAGAGAAGTAGATTATTCAGGGTTTGCTTATGCCACCAGCAAAAGCATGGAATTCTGAACTTCCACTCTTCATTTTGCTAAGATGATGGTAATATTTTCCACAAAAAGCAAAGGTTGGTAAATGATGACCAAATCTTACTTTAGCTTTAGAGAAATAAAATGAGTAGATAGTTGTCTTTTTGTAAAAAAGTTGGTTCACTGAGTATGGCATAAAATAATGGTGGTGTCCCGGTCAGTTTGTGCGCACCTGTACTAAATTCATTGAGTATCGAGTAACTTTGTCCACCAAAAGTTTAGACATATGCCTCTTGTCTATTTTAAATGTCATTTGAGATTTTGGCATTCCCGTTAAGAAGATCATTTAATAATAAGAGTTAGTTTGACTAAATTGCTTTTTATCTCTCCTCAAAATGAGTAATAATTGTTGAAAGAATTTTTAGAAAATTGCAGTATAGATTATTTATTGGACAAAAGTAGATCTGAAAATAATAAAATTAATGTCTTCCTGATTTCCTAAAGCAAGCTTATCTTTTACCAAACTTGTTTGCTAAAACAACATTTAAAATTGATCATAGGTTGTACTTTCCAAGTATAAGCATTCAATCTTCTTTATTTTTTAGATTAGTGTTTTGTCTTCTGAATTAAATCTTCTCACTGAAAATCTGTTTTTCTGATACAATTTTTTTTAGAATTATGAATTAAAAAGCAATTGAGGCAACTAGTAATCCTCATTGTGCCAGAATTTTACTGTCATAATGTAGTTAGAAGAATAGTAGTGGAAAGTCTATGGTTTAAAGGTTTGCCCATGTCGAATTCCTTTGACTTCTTTGTGTGTTTACCTATTTATAATTTTAACGTTCCTTAGTGTAAATCCTGACTCCGCCATTGCCGTAATTCTTCGTTACGGTGTTAAGATAAATTTTCTTATCACGCCTAGACAGAGTTTGGCTTGAATTAGCTGGCTTTTCTTTGCATAAATTATTGTTCAACAATAGCTACCAAAAGTATAGGGACATATTTTGTTGGGTTGTTGTCAGCATGTCCACTTTTTAATATTTGGTGAAATTTTAATCTGTTGACCTTTTGTACTATAGATCTTTTTCATAATTGTTCTGAGACTTTGTCTGTAGCACAGCCAAAAATAACTTTGCTGTGTATTCAAAGGGCACTTTTCTTTCCTACTACTATAGGTTGTTTGAACCAACAAATATTCATACCACTTTAGACATAGAAAATAGTGGTAAAAAGTCTATGGTATTTTATTAAGCTGTATATTGTATTAACCCTTTTTGACAGTTACCTAAGTTTATTTGTATCCATCCTAGTGTTTCTGATGACATTTATCTTTGTGAAAATGCCAACAAGCAATTGCGATTATGTCCTTTTGTTGAATTCGAAAGAGTCTCATCTTCATTTCAGTAAGTAGATCGTTTTCTCAGAGTAATAATTCTCTTGTATTAACATTCCAGAATCGGAACCAAAACGAAAATATTAAAAGGGGAACTGAAGCTAGCACAAGCCGTGAAATCGCAAGGGCAGATGAATCCCAGGAAAGAGTTGGATCTGCAGAAAAGGAGGATGCAACCATTTTCAAACTTTTTGTACGTCCGCAGCACCCTTGCAATTACTTTGGACTAGCAAAACAAGCGTTTCTCAAGTGCTTGGGCTTTGATTCGGATCGTGATAATTGTAACACCAGAAGACATGCTAAAGAAGATTAATGTATGATCTTCTTCACCCCAAAATGAAAAAAAGAATGCCAATGACTTACTTCATATTAATTGCTTCCCATGTTCTATACTGAGATTCTAGCTTGTTTAATGTAATCTGTTGTTTTGCAGGGAAAATGCTGCAATATTTTAGTTCCTTGAGACAGAAGTGTCTGCCTTTGTACAAAGATCAAGGTCTTGAAAAGAGTAGCTGCTAGCCATTTTAAAAGTGTATTTGGTTGGATGCCTTGAGATTTTGTAAATCACATGATCCTTTTAAGGACAGGTGTAGTTTAACCCGCAAGATGTTTGTTAACATTTAGTAGCTCTTATTTAACCCTTCAATAATTGTCTTGTAATATGTATCTTACCCTGTATATAACGGCTTTATATTGAGCTCACCTAATGACTTCTTGCCTTGTCATAATTAGAACTTGCAATTGCTATTCACATTATATGACGGTATTTGATTGGCTTAAGAAATTAATTAACTAATACTAACTTGTTTGGAATTATTTCATAATTTATCGTGTTTGTATTATATTATATTGTATTAGTTTGATCAATATAATATTTGGATATATTCTATTGTTTGCTTTCGTTTCATGATGTCACGTACAAACAATATGAAGAATAGAATTATAATATTACAAAAAAAAAAAGAAGAAGTAATATATAGGGTAGAATTATTGTATAAAAAGGTAAGATAAAGGATAAATAGGACTATTTAATAATAAAGGGTAAAATGAAAGAAAAATAAGGAATGATAAACCACACCAAATCTGTTGTTATATAAAGTGACACTTTTCGTTGTTACAGAATAAAAGATTTACCAATAGAGTAACAAAATTAAAGTAACAATTAAAATAAATATTATATTAAAGTAACAATACGATAAATTACAATAAGTAACAATCATCCAAACAAGTTGTAATGTATCTTACTAATAGTAGTAAAAGAAAATATTAAAGAAGTGGTTGAAGAGTTAGTTTAATACCTAAAGCATTATATGAAAGTTCGAAATTTATATACACACAACACAACACAAATTCAGTTTGATTCCAACAGGTGGGGTCTGGGGAAAAGTTCGAAATTTATGTAATTAAATTAATTTGAATTCCTGAATGTTGTTTGAAATGATACTAATGGTAGAATGACATCTAAATTGGAATGTTTCAAAAATGAAGTATGTTAAATAAATTAAGACAGAGGAAATAACGTTTATTTAACAAAGACATAACATCTAATATTGGAGATTTACATCTCTCTCGGGGGTGGGGTGGTCGGCGAAAATAAACATTTTTAATACTATGATATGATTGAGTAGTGTACATGAATTGTGAAATTTAAATACAATAGTGGGTTTGATTTGTATGGAATTAACTTTTTCTGTCCAACAAATTTTTAGGTATTCGATTCCCTCAAACTAATATCTAAGAGATATTTTTTCGTAATATTGAGCTTTGCCAACAGTATTATCTCACATGGTACCATATGGAGTTTGATGTTCATAATTGTTAGTTGAAGCCAAGTAATAAAAATTAAAAGTTAAGATACTCATTAGAAATGACTTCTGATAACGGGAGTGGGAAGGGAAGTCATTATATTTATTTTGATGGAACATATTTTCTGCTAATCTTAAACTATTTTTTCTTTCCAATAATTCAAACTAAATACTATAAACCAGTGTTCAATCATTTTACTCCTATATAGACGCGCTGCAAAAACATTTCAACAATGGTCTATAAGCTCGCTCTAGCTTAGGAAAACAGCAAAAGTTGAAAACCTTTGTAACGATCCGGCTAGTCGTTTTAAGAGTTGTAGCTTTGTTCCTTCATTTTCTGCTCCTTTTGTACTCTACAACTGTTATATGACTTACCGGGTTGGTTGGTTCGGGTCCGAAGAGATTTCAGAATGAGTTGAGACACTTAATCTCTTAATTGAAAGCATAAGTTGAAAAAGTTGACCGGATGTTGACTTATGTGTAAACGTCCTCAGATTTGAATTTTGATGGTTCCATTAGCTCCGTTAGGTAATTTTGGACATAGAAGCATGTCCGGATTGTGATTTGGAGTCTGTAGTAGAATTAGGCGTGAAATGGCGAAAGTTAGAATTTTGGAAGTTTGACCAGGAGTGAACTTTTTGATATCGCGGTCGGATTGGATTTTCGGAAGTTGAAGTAGGTTTGTGGTGTCATTTATGACTTGTGTGCAAAATTTGAGGTCAATTGGACGTGATTTGATAGGTTTCGGCGTCGTTTGTAGAATTTGGAAATTTCAAAGTTCATTAGGCTTGAATCCGTGTGCAATTCATGTTTTTGATGTTGTTTGTGGTGATTTGATGGTTCGACTAAGTCCGTATTGGGTTATAAGACCTGTTGGTATATTTGATTGAGGTCCTGGGGGCCTCGGGTTGATTTCGAGTGGTTAACGGGCTTGGAGTTTGATTTGAGAAGCAGTTGAAGTTTTGCTGGTGTTGGAGTAATTGCACCTGCGGAGTGGGAACCGCAGGTGCAAGTCCACAGAAGCGGCCAAGGGAGATTTGAGCATAGATCGCAGGTGCGAAGATTCTCCCGCACTTGCGTGGTCTTAAAAGCGGGCAGAAGGGCGCAGATGCGGCCGGTTCCTCAGGTGTGATGGCATTTTCCGTACCTGCGATGTGCGTAGATGCGGACCAGCGCTCGCAGAAGCGGAGGCAACTGGTTAAGTGGATTCCGCGGAAGCGGAGATTTAACCTCATATGCGGTTCCGCAGGTGTGAAAGGCCTGGGCAGAATGTTTAAAAATGAGGGTTCACGATTTTGGCTTCATTTCAACAATTTGAACTCGGACTTAGGCAATTTTGGAGAGGATTTTCGAGGGGATTCTTGAGGAAAGCTTCTTGTACTCGTTTTTGGTCAATAATCTTGTTTCCTCATTGTTTTCCCGCCTAGATTGTGTGGTTTTGAGATGAAATTTGGGGGTTTGAGGCTAGGGATTTGGAGAGTAAATTTTTGGGATTTGAATGACCATTTGGTGTCGGATTTTGGTAAATTTTGTATGGTTAGACTCGTGAGTTAATGGGCTTTAGGGTTTTATGACTTTTGTCGGAATTCGAGATGTGGGCTCGGGGGCCGGGTTGAGCCGATTTCAGATTTTGGTTATAATTTCGTATTTTTCTTGTGGAATTGATTCCTTTAACCTATATTGATTGTATTGTACTGCTTGTGGCTAGATTCGGTCATTTGGAAGCTGATTCTCAAGGCAAAGGCATATTGGAGTAGAGTTTTGCTCGGATTGAGGCAAGTAACAGTTTTAAATCTAGTCCTGGAGGCAGGAAACCCTGAATTATGCGTTATATGATTGGTTTGGAGGTGAGCACATGCTAGGTGACAGGCGTGTGGGCGTGCACCGTAGGAATTGGGACTTGGTCCATTCCGTGGAACTATAAAGTTGAATAACTCGTTGTTAGCTATTTTCTCTCCCTGTGTTATAGAAATTTGACTGTAAACCATATTATAAATCATGCTTAGGCTATATGATGTCATTGTTGGGACCCGCAGAGGTCGTGAACTTGTTGAATTATCTGCTATTTGTTGTCTTGTACTCATTCACAACTTTACTTGTGCATCATATCTCAGTCTCTTCTTGTTTCTCCTTGATACATGTTATTATCTCTGTTTTGGCTGATTTGTATGATTTCTGAGAGCCCGAGAGACTGGAGATGTTGGGACTGAGTTAGGGCCTGAGTGTCGAGTTGTGAGCTATATGAGTATATATGGACCGGGTTGCACGCCGCAACGATCCTTAGGGCTATATATATATATATATATATATATATATATATATACACTACAAAACATTACAAGAAATTATATTTGGAAATATACATAACATACTATATATAGTATAGTATACTATATATACTATATACTGTATATATATAGATATATATACTAACATACTATATATACTACAAAACATTACAAGATTTTTCAAAAGGAGGGCCCCACCCCCAATGACCATTGCCAACGGTCATATTGCACAAATAGCCTATTTTTTTTATTTTTTCTTTCTTTTCAAATTACAAAACTAACCTTCTCTAAAACTATAAATACCCCCTCCCTCTTCTTCATTTCAATACTCAATACTCATTTCTCAATCTAAATTTCTCTCAATCTCTCAATCTAAATTTCTCTCAATCTCTCAATCTCCAATTTTCAAGACTTCAAGTCTCAATCTCAAATTTCAAGTTAAATCATGCCTCGTTCGGAAAGAGTGCGCTTATTTGTTTCGCAACACTTTGAAGTACTTGAAGAAAATGANGGTTAGGTTAGGTAGACGTAGTATAGTAGTAGTAGTAGTAGGTACGGTACGGTACGCGACCGCGACGACGTACTACGTACGTAGAGAGTATATATATATATATATATATATATATATATATATATATACATACATACATATATATGCACGCTGCAACGAGCCTTATGGGTATTTATATATTATAGATCGGGCTGCACGCTGCAGCGATATAGCATTTAGGTTGAAAGAGCCCCTTCGGAGTCTATACACCCCTAGTGAGCGCAGGTACCTATTGAGTGTGAGTGTTTATGGATGAGAGCTGTGTGTTTGAGTTATTGGGAAAGGTTGAGTGGATGTTGCCCTGAGAGGTTGTACTTGCTTTCATTTGTTGTTGCACTTAGCTGCTATATGTCACTGTTTTGAAATTCCTTGAAGATATTGTATCCGATTTTACTTGAACTTGGTAATGTATAAACTGATTTGACTTAAATTGCTGAATTTGAAAGCATGTCTACTTTCTTGCCGAGATTACTGAAAATGAACTGTAACTGTGTAGCTCGTCACTATCTTTCAGTTCCTTATTTATCATTGTTACTTACTGTGTTGGTTGTACTCACGCTACACCCTGCAGTTCGTGTGCAGATCCAGGTGCTTCCGGACACGGTGGGCGTTGATATCGTGCACGGTTGATCGATGAAGACTTATGATGTTTTATACGTCAATACCACACAAGAGGGGGGTGATTTGTGTGGTACCCAATTTTGCGCTCTAGAAGAACCTGGTTCTTCTAGGTATACTAACTCTGCTGTTTGCGGAATAATAAGTACATAAAATAAAGAGCACAGAGATTTTTACGTGGAAAACACCTGGCTCAAAAGGTGAAAAACCACGACCGACTACTCAGTAGGATTTTCCCAAACTTCCACTAAAATCACTGAGCCAAAATAGCATTTACAAAACTCTTTGTAAACCTAAGGATTAACTCTAATCCCGTTGTAGCACACAGCCTCAACTGTTGCGACAACTTCAAGTTAGCATATAACTTGAACATTCTAAGTATCTGATACAAATGCTTCTATGAAAGTTGAAAGGTACAAGTTTAAATCACCTACTATAATTGAACTAGAATAAAAGAAGGACACTATGGAATTGGTTCTTCTATCTCGTCCAAGT